AAAACAGAACTAGAACTACAGAATAACTTACAATTATCAATGGAGAGAACGCCACTATCTAGAACTCACAGTGGTTGGGGAAAAGGATACAATTGACAAAGAAGAAAAAGAGAGAGATGGTTGTAGCTGATTGTTGAATGGCTGAGAGAAGAAAATTAAAAAAAGCTAGGGCAAATGTTGTATGGGTGACCGGTGGCTACAGGTAAAATTTTAGTGTTATATATATACTTTAGTTGAAATTGTAAAATCAATTTTAAAATCGTGATTTTACCTGATTTTACCATAATTTCACATGTTTAACATGTGTTAACTCGTGATTTTACGAGTCAACTAACAACCATGGTACAAAACTCATGTGGCACAATCTAAATATTCAAGGGCAAAATAGAAATCCAATAAACCATTTTGATTTATAGAACAATCTTACCCTACGATTGTATACAGTGCATCAGTGCCGAGCTTGGCTTCTTCAGCTACAAATATAATTTAGAAGTAAGCTTCGTTTTTATTTAGGATTTTAGTCATTTAGCATGGTCTTGAAGTAAAACAAAGTTCGAGACAGAACAAGATTGAAAGCATTCAATCAGCCATCCAACCAGCCTTTTAATCTAAACGTTAAAAGGTATTATACTGATTCTATACCCCAAAAAGGGCATTTCACCAGTCAGAACAAAGCACTCACATAGGGATAACATATGGATCAACATTCCTCTCGTCATGCAGCTAGATTGCAGCTGGATTATACTAATGCAATGCTGCTCTGACCACCAGGGGGCTGGCGAACACCACCAAGATAATCTCTGGATGCTGCCTTTCCATCAGAAAAGATACCACTGCCGCTCATTTCTCTCAGTTTTGCCGTGCTTAGAGATTTTTCAGCAGATCCAGGAGGAACATCTCCCTTGAAAATACCATTGCCTGTCAGCTCATTAAACTTCTGGTTGTGTATTTTCCTTGCTGTCTTCATGACTGGTTCTTCACCAAATAGGATATTGCTCTGGCCTCCAGCAGGCTACAAAAATCAGAGACAAAATTCAGTAGGGATTAAATAGCCAAAATTAAAGATCATTACATGGTCACTGAGCCATCATGATAGTTTTGACAAGCACATGCATCAAGGCAACCAGAGTTGGATTTTGCAATTACCAATAAAAACCACTGATAGGAAACCCTAGTCAGTAGGATAAGAATTACGATGCACATGTGCTTTCTAACATGGTGTTTGAAGATGGCATGGACACTGGAGATGGATATGTTCATATTTATGGATTAAAAGAAGAGTATGCTCATGTTATATTGGTCAGCAGAACATAAGTGTAGAAAGGAGATAAAAGAGCAACATAGTATCAAGATTTTGTGCCAGAACAAAAACTCTAGAAATGACAAAGTTCGGAAGCCTTCTACGATATAAGAACATTAAAAGGATGCATGATAAGGAAACATGTCTAAACATTGTAGGAGCCTATTGCAGCATTTAACAAGCTTGAAAGAATTGAGCTGCACCTACATTAACATTTTGCATTTTAATAGTCCCTTTTGAACTGACACATGATAGGAAGTCCTCAGTCACTGTTCCTTTTTCACAACTCAACATTTTGCTCAAACACCCCAGATGGTTGTGTAGAACACAACAACATGAAACTAACTGTAACTTCCTAGTAGAATAGATATTGATCCATAAATAATCAAATACAAGAAAGGATTTATCAAACACATGAAGCAGACACTCACATTTGAAACCCTGACAGATGTGCGAATGTTTCGAGGTGCAGGTTCCCCGATGTCTTTGTTTTCTTTTGTTTCCATGGTGCGTGCAGCAGCCAGTGAACGGGGAGCAATTTCAGAAGGGGGGGCAAAAATGTCATGCCCACTGATCTCCTTGAATTTAGCATTTGATATTTGCTTTTTGCTCTTCATGTCAGAATCATTTTGCAACGTCCCACTTAACTCGCGCTGCTTTGCCACTTCTGGGACAGAGGTAGGCTTCTTAGGGGAGATGCTCTCCTCAGCACTAAACGATATTTGGCTTATTCCATTCATTGCTTGCTGAAAATCCAACAGTTGCAAATGCCAAAGGAGAACAGCCATCAAGATTAACGTTGGATATAAAAGTGATTATAAATGGTGATAATGAACTTTCTTTTGAAGATAACCAAATAAGTACCTGATAAACACGCACTGTAGTTTTGTTATTAGGATTAGCATCACCGGATTCAGATGTACCATCTTGACCATTAAATATGCCACTGCCAGTCATCTCCTTTAATTTATACCCCGAGCAAGGCTTTCTACAGAAAAAAAAGTGCAAGTGAATGATTTAGATGGCTAAGAGAAAGCATGCACAAACAACCAACTTGATTTATGAAATAACCCTTATTTGCAAAGTTCAGAAGTTGCCAAGCTAGGGACCCATTAGAATTGTTTGTGTTTTATATCTCTGTATGTGAAAGTGGGTGTTAGTTTACTCTGAAGTCAGAACTACATTGTCCAAAAAGTCCTTCCAAAAGGCAGGCCAATCTACCTTTCTAAAACAACAAGACTATGCCAATCAATAAAAGATGTTAATTTGCAAACGCACAAGTAAAATCAATGCAGTTATTTAGCATTCAATTAAAACAAGTAAAAGATCAAATCTTTGTTTTGAAGAATTATCAAAACCTCAAAAGTTAGTTAATTTTAACAACAGGGAGTTCCAAATTTAAGCATCTATCAACTTCGTCACCAATCTATAATCCCTCTATATCATATTGAAGAACCACCATCCTAAATATTAAAGAGTCTATGGCTGCAACTTATCTGTGCCCTTCGTGAGCTGGCACAAAGAAATTAACTATAACTTCCTATCAGAAGTAAACACACTAACCATTTTCTTTTCTTTTTAAAGAGAAAAAAGAGAGCGAAAACAGTTTTATTTTCAAGAAATTAAATCACTTGCCATATTTGTTGTCACATTAACTCTCTTAACAATAAGAGACTAATCCTATTTCATTTCATTAATGAAGTTACCATTCATGAATTAAAAAACCCATCAATCAATTTTTTCTTTTCTTTTTTTCAAAACTTCAAATCTACTTGTGAAAATCATTAACAGCCATGAAACAGAAAATGCAGCTACAGATCTGATTCCTAGTAGAAAAAGGGGGGGAAAACACAAATCTTGATAAAATATTCTATCCTTAATAAAACAGAAACCTTCAAAAATCATAAAACTTGAAAGACACAAAAATCAATAGATAGTAAAGGGGGGATCTTTACTTCTTCATGAGACTCTCTGCTTCTTCTTGAGAGACCTGACCTCCAAACAGCACTTTACTGATTTTATCAGACGGCTGGGAAGTAATGCATCAAAAGATCAGATAGAAAACAAGAAGAAATAATGAGTATTTTATATAATAATGATAATAAAAGAAGTAAAACTTAATAAGGTGTGTGGTAGTAACCTGGTGAGGGCGGTGGGAGGAGGCGGAGGGAGGAGAGGCAGAGGGAGGAGCCTCCTTCCAAGTCAGCAGATCGGCGGTGGATGTGTGTGGCTTCCTCACGGCTGCATTCCTCTCCATTTCTTGATGTCTTTGCTTTTTTGAAAATCTCAAGGCTACGGTCAGTGATGGTGCATGTGTTTGTTTGTTTTCCGTTTGACAGGTATTTAAGAGATAGACAGATGTAGAATTCAAATTTTATTTTTTATTTTTATTTTTTGTTTCTTTTTCAAATTTGAAGTCATCTATCATTTTTTAGAGGGAGAGTATATATCCCTGGAGTTTTCAGATTCTTACACTTTAGTACCTATTTTTCAAAAAGCTTTTCAGTGTCAGCCTTTAATTTCCAATTTGGTGTAATGCCACAAATTGCTAGAGTGTGTGTATTTTAAATTAATTTTCTCTCAACCATCAGCATTTTTGAAAGTCATAATTTTAAATGGTTTTGATGTGCTTATATCAAAAATAAATATTTTAAAATACAAAAAAATATTTTAAAATTTTTTTTTAAAAAAAATTCATTACTATAATCTCAAACACTAATCTCCACCGAAAAATGAAGAAAGATGCTATGTTTTTTAAAATATAAACTAATAATAAGTGCTAATTTTAGGGAATTGGTAAGTGGATAGACAGACTAGTAGTTTAATTAGAGAGAGAGAGAGAGAATAAACATGAATTTATATAATCCATGCATGGCTTTGCACATGGCTCCGTGTGCACATAGAATCTATGGACTTAGCCGATTAATGAAGGCTCAGATCCCACACAAAACTACAAAGGTATGCAATGATAATTTCATTAGTTGGTTCATTGAGTGGATGCAAAGATCAAAGTTCTTTTCTGGGCATTTCCAGATCAGATGTTCGACGATGTAATTTATTTTATTTTATTTCCTGAATGGATCGCTTCATGTTTTGACGGGTATAAATATTGCTTGAGAAATTAGTTTTGACTGGTGTTAAATTGCATCATATTTAAGGTTTTTCAATTGAATTCAAATTTTAAATTTAACGAGTTGTAAGTATTTTAAGTTAGATGAGGTTTGTTTCGGTTTTCTCAATTGATGTTTTCTGATTTTTTACGAGATTTTACTCTATTTTTTACTAATTTCTCTCAATTAGGTTATTATCAGGTTATTTAATAATTTATATAGGCTTAGATGTAAATCTCTCAATTAGGTTATTATCAGGTTATTTTATAATTTATATAGGCTTAGATGTAATTTTTTTTTTATTTTTTTCATTGTTTTTCTTATTAGTTTATTTATTATTATTTAATTTAGCATTTGAACCAAATAACTCGAAACGTGCATCAAAAAAATATTTGCTAGACGAAGTGCGAGTAATGTATCTATTATGAGCTAGGTATTTTTTAATTATTTTTCTATCAATTTATTCATTGTTATTATTTTTTTACATATTATTTAAATTACCATTTAAATCAACAACTTCGAAGTTAATTTTTTTTAATCTAATACCCTTTATACCAAAAAAAAAAGAATTGCTTAGCTCGTGGAAGTGCTTTGGAAAACAAACCCTTGCTTTGAAGAGTCCAGTAAATTAATTTCAATCTTGATCGCGCATGTACACACTCATGACTAATTGACTACCTTTACAAAATTTCCACACGCCAAAAAGAAATCTTCAAACCAAAGTAGCAAGTGGGTTCTTGATTCGCCAATCCTCGGTGTTTATAGTGCTTCCAGAGCAGCCACGAGGACAAAAATATCATAATCTTCACACCTGCACCCACTATCCTTGCAACAACCACATTCATCCCACCTCTTCGACCTCCCATTTCTCCTTTTCTTCTCCTCCATCTCTGCCATTGCTGGAACTCTAACTCTCATGGCTATTTGCACTGCAGGAGGCTTGACATCATCAGGAACGCTGCCCTTCTTTGGGATCATCGTAACCCATCTTTCCATTTCTAGCTTTGGTGACTCGACAACTGTTTTCCATGGAACCTCAGCTCTGCCTAGGAGTTGTGACCCCCCTATTTTACCAAGGATTGGATTTGTGCTTCTCCATCTGAGCTCGAAAACTACAGTTTGTTGCTTGAGGTTGTTGATGGAGTCTTCAGTGCCTGAACACTCCAATGAGAAGGACTCATTCCAAAAGAGGTTGGCCTTTGCGGAGATTTCTCGGCTGTTCAGTTGGATTCTTTTGTTGTTTCCTGTAGAGAGATAGTATCTAACAAAAAGGCTCCCATGGGACTTGAATTCTACGTTCTTTGCCTGCAGAATTTCTATTTCACAGCTAAGACAAGTCATTATGAGACCTTGAGTAGCAGCTAGCACCCGTGTAGAGAGAGAGAGAGAGAGATAGACTGCTTTTCTTGAGAAGAGAAGCTCTTGGTTTGTTTGGTGAAGACAAGCTATGGATTATGGAGTTGTATATATAGATGCAAGCTAGGCCAAGGATATTGGTGGGAAGGTGGCATTTGCTTTTGGGGGAGCTGCTTCTATCTACAAAAACAAAATGCAAGTTGTGGAGAAAATCACCCACAAAATCTTAGTTGCAATGCAAGGGAAATTTAATAATACCATGAAATAAAGAGGGAATCAAATGAGATGGTGGGGGAGATTTTATTTTACTAAAATAAGCTTTTTATATATGCTGGATATCTTAATTTTACTCTTTCAAGTTGCCAACAGTATTGGGTGTCGACAGTACGTAGTTTTTGCGATACATGAGCCTTGCGGGGTTCAAGATTCTGTATGATTCGCATGGGAATCCTTTTGATCCTTCTTTTTTGTTTAGAATTTGAAGTATTGCTATTCAAATCTAAGTTTGTCGTATCTAAACTTGTTAGGCCGCAAACACCCTCCCTGAATTCAAATCCAAATTTCTATTTCAAGTGAAGAATTTTGATTCCCAGTGGTTGTAGATGATAAATTAAAATATATAATTTGTGATAAATTAAAATTGAAGGATTAATTTAAAATAAATAAAAATTTTATATAAGGGTCAAAAATAAAATTTATAAATAGAAAAATAATGATGAAAATTAAAATAACAATAACAAAGAAAATCATCTTGTAATCCCTAACAAGAAAAAAAAAAAGAGTGAGAAATCACCTTGTTGTTACTAGCACGCACTCTACTAGTAAAAAAAAAACATGATTACACTTCCAATATCATTATAGAAGGGTATCTTTATGCCCTTAGTAGAAACCGCGCATACCTTTTAAACTACTTAGATACTTCCCGCTCATAAAAGTATCATTATTCATGTCAATAGCTCTTTCAATTTAATTAATATTTAATTATTATTGAAAAATTAAAATACTTTTTATAAACTCGATCATCATAAAAAGGCTCGTATACTCATGATTAGGATTTTTTTATTTCAAATATTTGTATTTAAAAAAATTAAAAGAAAAAGAGATAATGTTTCGCTAGTTTTAAAAATTCTTGCTTTTAGTGTAAGTGGATCATTTTATTGTGCTAAAAAATTAAAAGAAAAGTTATATCCCTATACATTCTTTTTAATTAATTTTAAAAAATCTAACTTGGAAGATAAATAGATAATTTTACTATGTTAAAAAATTAAAAAAACATTTATATTTCTAATTAATTCTTTAATAACTAATGATCCATGTAAAAGATTAAAATACTCTCTGAGTTTTTTAGGAAAAGTAAAACTATAATGTTAAAAATGATAGCTTTAGCCTTATTTTTTTATTATAATGTTTTCTTATCCTCTTTTCTTTCTTGGATTACAATATATTTTATCCTTCTATCTATCGCACATAGGTGTTCATTTTCATATATATATATATATAAAGAATTCTCTGCAAAATGGTCCTACAACAAACTGAAAAATAATACTACTAGGAATTTAGCACAACATATTAAATCATCAAATCACAAGCTTCTTCTTCTTCTCTTGGATTACATTGACATTTACAAGTTACCTTTAAATGCAAAATTAAGCGAACCATGCAAAGAAAAGGAGTATCAAGATTTATCAACAGCAGTGTCGTTTTAACTAGGGGGTGGATTTTGGACCGTTGAGACAAATACCTATCAAGAGAATCGCTTTCTCGACACTTGTTAGCGATCTTGAACCTATGAACAAAATCTTCTGTCAAGCCAATCAGATAAGCAGACAGCAAAGTGATGCCACTTTACAACTCAGATGGTCCACTGAAAAAGATTGCATCTCTTGAAGATCCTCAGAGGATACCCACTTCATCTCCATTACTGTCAAGAACCCTGAATTCTTCTCTTTACCCTAACTAAATAACATTAAACAAAGTTCGATTCAGTGACGAACAAGATTCCTTTGTGATTACACCTTAGCATCACAACCATGCCTTGAGCTTATTTATTGCCAACCCGATCAAAAAAGAAGAAGAAAGAATCCCCATGTGATGTTTATCGGCTCACTAATTCCGTGGCTGATAATAACTCTAGACTACTACACACAGGCTTAGTGCCTAATGATCCTCGTGATTATTATTTTATCACATAGATAAGCAAGTATGAATATGATAGTTTTGGCTACTTGTCAACATTATCGCTAAATTGTACTCCCTTGTGTTTCTCTGCAAATCTGGGGGAGTAAAAGACCCTCCCCGTTATCTGATCTGATGAGGGGAAATGGCCTTTGTCGTCTGGTCCAGATGTCAAAATAACCACTGACAATGCCAACAACTCTTGTCGGAGGACAATACCACTTTTCTCCCTCTCCATGCCAATTATATTTTTAAAATAATATTTATTTTTTTAAAAAATAATATTAATATATTAAAACACTCTAAAAATACAAAAAAATAATTTAAAATTTTTAATTTTTCAAACACCGCTGCCATTAAAAACCTATTTATTTTTGTATTTTAAAAAAGCTTTAATTTTTTTTTTTTAAATTTATATTTTTTAATATTATTTTAATATATTAATGTCAACAACTCTTGTCGGAGGATAATACCACTTTTCTCCCTCTCCATGAAAATTATATTTTTAAAATAATAATTTGTTTTTAAAAAATTAATATTAAAATATTAAAACGCTCTAAAAATAAAAATAAAATAATTGAAATTTTTTAATTTTTCAAACACCGCTGGCATTAAAAGCCTATTTATTTTTGTATTTTAGAAACACTTTTAAAAATATTTTATTTTTTTTATTTTAAATTAATATTTTTTAATATTTTAATATGCTAACATTAAAAATAATTTTTTAAAAATAAAAAAATATTATTTTAATATATTTTTAAACAAAAACCACTTTTAAAACAACAATTACATTACATTATCAAATAGATAGAAAGCACACTCACATTTCCAAATAGACGGGTAGTAGAAGTGCTGAACTCGAAGAAAATTTAGGGACGACAAGAGGAGGGGATATTCTTTTCCTGCGAT